CCTCCCGCCCGTGGGCGGGGCCGGGCCCCCTCCGGGTCCCCTCCCGGGCACTGTCCACGCCGCGCGGAGCAGCGGCGAGAGCTGGAGGGGGCGCGGCAGGGGCGCCAGGTCGGGCCTTTGCCCGCCGCCTGGGGCAGGGCGAGCCCGGGAATGTGCGCGCTGTCCCGGGAGGCGACTCGAGTCCTCTGCCGACAACCCCTCCTCCACGGGCTCCCCGCGTGGCCTTGGGGCGTCCAAGCCTGATAAGTCTCACTCCTGGGCCCTCCAGCCGTTCCCTGCGGGAGTTTGGAGAACGGGAAACCCCACTCAGAGGCCTTGAAGGCCCGGGAGATCTGCTTAGACCTTGAATTTTACAGGCCTTGGATGCCTGCTCAATTTTTCCCAACCTCCCATTCCTTTCTATCCAATACAGGCCCTACGGGTGCCAACGAAACAAACAGCCACGCTGGGGTGCAGGTGGCCGCAGGCCACTGGTAGAATGGTGTAGTGTGCTGGTGGAGGCCACGGACCCGGTAGCCCAATAGCCTGGGTTTCTTTCCCGCCTCCATCACTACTTATCCTTTCCGTGCCTCAGTTTCTCCATCTGTAAAGTGGAATACTAACAGCAAAAGGCTTGCTGAGCAGGTACATGAGGGCACAGTTCAGAAACCTCTGCTGAGTCCCCCACCCCTATGGGATACAGGGATCAGCTGTGCCCAGGACTCTGTACCATCCTTAAGGAGGGGAGATAGACCTCTGACCCCTACCTCTTGTTGTGCGCTCCTCTGACCACTCCCCTTTCAGCTGTGCCCAGGACTCTGTACCATCCTTAAGGAGGGGAGATAGACCTCTGACCCCTACCTTTTGTTGTGCGCTCCTCTGACCACTCCCCTTTGACTGCGAGCTCTCTGAGGGCAGGCAGGAAGTCCCGGGGGCTGTCATGGCACAGAGAGGTCCATAATGCGGCCTGCAGGGGCTTGGAGGGATCAGGAAGACAATACCTGAGTTAAGTCTTAAAGGACTGACAAGTAGGCAGGGGGAGGTGCACACCTGGCAGGAGACAGCACAGGCGAAGGCCTGGTGCTGAGGAACCCAGGAGGAGGCCAGTGTGGCAGGAGGAAATCATCTATCTGAGCGCTGTCCTGGCTGGGGATGGGGAGCCATA